AAAGCCGGTGAGCAGCGGCCCGCCGGAGTTCAGGGGCTTCAAGCCTCATTGAGTTTCGGGTGTTTAGGGGGTTCTTCAAGCGTCAAAGAGCTCTTACATGGGCTTGGACATATATGTGTGATCTTCCACGGCTTTTCCCGAAACGCATTGAGGCATACTGCAGGTGAAAACTGAGTGCTGACTTCTGCTGACTTCAAGGATTCCAGCAGTGGGCACAAAGGTGTGTAGTGTAGCACCCGAATCACTCAGGAAGTCTCATCAAAGAACCGGTGACACACCAAGACAAATACCAACTTCCCGAGCTTAAGCAACGAGATTGACACAGATGTTCAGCTCTTCCAAGCTTACACAGCTCCGATGAAAATCCTCAACAGTGCTCAACTCAACCCATCTCAACCCGGGATCATCAGGGCCCTAAGCTTCTGGAAGACTTGAGGTCTGTCAGCGGACTGCAGAATCGAAAACGACATGTCAGAAAGGTACAGAAGCAGCCACTCCGAGCCCCAAGCTTCTGCAGGACTTGTGATCCTGCCAGACGACTGCAAACTCTGTCAGACAGACACCTTGGGGTTTAGGGGTTGGGGGTCAGAGGTTTAGGGTTTAGGGATTAGATTAGAGAGGTTTAGGGGTTGGTTCAAGCGCCTAATACTCATGAATCCGAACATCTTGGCCCCAGTGTGCCCGAGATACTTCTTCTCACTGCTGGCTCCGCAGCCCATATGCTGGGAAGAACACTGCGATGTCCAGGGCACCCTCGATGATAGCTTTGTGTTGGGGATTGCTATTTCAGCATGTCACGATTTGACTTCCAGATTTCTGCACCAGCTCCTTGGTTCAATTCGCTTGGACATGGCATCAGGGACTAAGCCACACAATCTGGAGTTCGAGAAGCACGAAGTTTGGGGAGTCGCATGTCAATGACCTACTCGGTGCTTGAGGGTTCAAGGTCAGGGCACAGACATTCAGCAGATGATCGAGTTTGTGAGCCTTGCAGGGTTGCTTTAAATGCCTTGTGACAGCACTTGAGCCGCACGAGACATCACAAAGGCAAGAAGGCAGGCCCGGAAGAGCCCCTCTTCAGCTTCGGACGCTACACCTTGGGGGTCGGTGCAAGACACCGAGTGCCTCAAACCCGAACTCCGCGGCTTGACCCCCTGTGTTAGCGTCGGATCCTGACCCCAGTCCTCAAAGGTCCCAAACCAGCAAAGACCCAAGACCAACGCCAAAGCAAGACTGCAATGCTACGGCGACGAGTTTGAATGCTCGGACTCCACCACAGCGCGACCTCTGCTTTTTCGGCGGCAGCAGATCCACCACCAGCGCGCCGAGGCTGAGGCCTCGCAGCCGAAAGAGTCCAAGCCCCGAAGTCTCCCACAGCAGCCACGACCACACTCCGGCCGGGCCCCGGCCGGGCCTCGGATCAATCATCGCCGAAATCATCGCCGAAATCAAGACAGATGTGTTTCGCACGCACCGGCAGCGCATCGAAGGTGGCCCGGAGCTTTTCCTTCTCCTCCTCGCCTGGGGCGCGGTTTGTGTGGCAAGGTCCAAGATGCTTTGACAAAGCCCCCGAGGCCCGGGCGGAGCGCGTTGGCGTACAGACGAACAACGAGCTCCGTGAGCTGCAGCAGCTCTCGAAGGCTCTCCACCACTGCGGTGGCGCCGGCATCGCCTCGGCCGGGAGGCAGAGCCCGCCACTTCCGGTAGAATCTGCGGTAGAGGGAGTGGGAGTGGACATCGGCAGAAACCCGTCTCTTCAAACTTCGGCGTGGGGATGGGCTTCACTGAGAACAGGGATCCAAGGCTTGGATCGCCTGCACGTGGTGTGTGGGGCAAGGCCTATAGGGCCGCTTAACAGACCTCGAGGCCCGGGCCGAGCGCGTTGTTGTGCAGGTCAATTCTGAGCCAGGTGAGCTGCGGCAGATTGTGCAGGCTCTCAGCCACAGCTGCGGCACCTGCATCACCTCCAGCGACAGAGAGGTGAGGCCGTAAGCTGCCACGCTGCGACCCCGGGTCGCTATGGCAAAGTGCACACGGCGTCCCATGCAACTGCGGCTCTCGGGCTTCGACTTCTTCGGGGTCCGAGCAGAGCGCCCTCCGAGGCCCCGGGCCGATCTTGTTCTCACCCAGGAGCAACCTGAGCTCTTTGAGCTCCGTCAGCCGTGCGAGGGCGGAGGCCACGGCCTTTNNTTCCGCCCTCCTCGCCTCGGTGCCCGTAGGGGCGCGACTGCTCAAGCGCTGCTTCCAGCTGCCCCCTCAGCTGGAAAAAGTCGCGAGGCACAGCGAAGGGAGGCAGAGCCCGCGACTTCCGGTAGAATCTGCGGTAGAGGGAGTGGGAGTGGACATCGGCAGAAACCCGTCTCTTCAAACTTCGGGCGTGGGGATGGGCTTCACTGAGAACAGGGATCCAAGGCTTGGATCGCCTGAACGTGGTTTGTGGGGCAAGGCCTATAAGGCCGCTTAACAGAGCTCGAGGCCCGGGCCGAGCTCGTTCGTGTACAGCCCAACATTGAGCTTCGTGAGCTGCCGCAGATTGCGCAGGCTCTCAGCCACAGCTGCGGCACCTGCATCACCTCCAGCGACAGAGAGGTGAGGCCCCAAGCTGCCACGCTCCGACCCCGGGTCGCTAAGGCTAAGGGCACAATGATACGCCGTCCCATGCAACTGCTTCGACTTCTTCGGGGTCCGAGCAGAGCGCCCTCCGAGGCCCCGGGCGGATCTTGCTCGAATTCAGGCCCAACGTGAGCTCCTTGAGCTCCGTCAGCCGGGCGAGGGCGGAGGCCACGGCCTTTCCGCCCTCTTCGCCTCAGTGCCAGCAGGGGTGTGACTGCTCAAGTGCTGCTTCCAGCTGCCCCTTCAGCTGCAAAAAGTCGCGAGGCACAGCGAAGGGGAAGGAAATTGGTGGTCTTCCCGAAGGGACGGGAACGGGCATTTGGGCAGGAGGGTTTTCGGAATCGAAATCTCAAGAAAGGCGCCGCGTGAATCCAAGACTCGGAAGCACATCACGGGAGTCGAGGCCGTTCGGGAGCAGGCTAGGATGAGTGTGCTGGATGCAGTTTACAGCAGCAAACAAGAAGGCCTCTACGTCTCCATGGCTATCTCTAAATACCATTGAAGCTGATAAGAACGGAGATGGATACATGGATGGGGTCCGCTTGCAGGCCCAACCCAAGCGGGAGGCGGCCGCCAACAAGCTGGAAATCAAAAAGCGAACGAGGAGCGCAGCTGAGGCCCCCGGCCCAGGGAGTTGTAATGAAGATTCAACGTCAGCCGCTCCAGCTCCTTTTGCTGGCCGAAGCCCGCGGCCAGGGCCCCGGCCCCGTCATCGCCTGGCAGCGGAAGGGAGGAGGGTTCTTCTTCCGCTCCGCGCGCTCCGAAAGGGCCGCCGAGGCCGGGGCCGAAGCGGCTGTGGTGGAAGCGGAGGTCGAGGTCGAGCTCTCGAAGTTTGGGGAGCTCTGGCAGGGCCCGGCAGAGCGGCGCGAAGAGTTTCCGGAACCTCTCGCGTTTGACGCCTCGGTGGGAGCGCACGCCTCGGTGCGAGCCTGGGCCTGGGGCCTCCCGGGAGCTGAGCCCGCGGCCGTCGAGATCGAGCACGAGCTTCTGCGCTTCCTCGAGCTCTTTGAGTTTTTCGTCCTGCGTGCGGCCGGCGGCGCCGGGCCCCGGTGCTGTCCGAAGAGCTCCGTTTAGACTGAGGAAGCGAGCGATTGTGCCGACCAAAGGTGACTGTACCAGGTCGTGTCGGGTGGGTGGTAGAGGGGTTCCGGTTTCCAGCCTTCTTTGGGAGACACTTTGAATTTGCCCTTAAGAACCCTGCTGTCGACTTCATTCGGGCCGGGCCCGAAGTGATGAAGAACTTGCCGCGCTTCAGAGCACGCGAGCCTCCAACATGCACAGGAACTCCACCGCTGGGTGGGTGACGTTCGTCACCTGAAGAACAAAGGCACCCACAGCGACGGCCAGAGAAGAGGGGAAGCTGTGAGAGAAAGGGCGGGAAGAAGCCACTCCACGAGCTCTCGTCACCCCGCCTGGCCCGTCCGGACGGCCCTGGCCAATGCCATGTCGGCCGTGCCCAAATCGCCCCAACCGCAGCCCGTCAGATCGAGCCGCTCCACCCCGCTTGTTTGGAGAACCTGCAGGGCTGTGCTCTAGACTCGATGGAAAAGAAGGGTTTAGGGTTTAGGAAAAACAATTCTGGGGTGGCTGTGAGCGTGCTGCAAGTACAATAGTAGCTGCCAGCCTCAAGAAGGGTGAAAGCGAGTTCCTCCCCGATGTTGTTTCCAGCAAGGCTCAGCTGCTTGAGGGTCCGATTCTGCTTGATGGCCTGCACGCGATGACGGGGTTTGCTCGCAGCCACAGCGACTCTTCCTTTCGGCAGAAGCCTTTTGAAAGGCCTGTACAACTGGTCCCTGGGCCTCTGCGAGAGCGATGATGTCATCGCTGGTTAGGGAGATGTAGCTCAAGTTCAGCTCGATCAAAGCACTGTTTGTCCGCAGAGCCTACGTGCAGAGTTGCAGGCATCGCGCTTCGGCTTCGGTCTGCAAATCTCTGAATCCGCTCATCTCAGAGCTCGAAGGCCTCGGCCAAAGCCTTAACACCAGCGACATCGACGTGGTCGTGGGCGAGACTCAGTGCCGCAAGCGTCCCGTTGGACTTCAAGGCCTGGCGTGCATCGTTGAGCTTCCATGATGCATCCGTGCATCGGCAACTGGCGGGCCTCGATGAACTGGCGGGTGCCCTCCTCAAACAGCTCGTTTTGCTGCAGATGGAGCTGCCGAAGCTTGATCTTCTCCAGGGCCTGCCGAGAAGTGGTTGGGCTGCGGCATGCTGCGACTGGCTTCTGCATGCAGCACGGCTAAATTCGGAAAATGCACAAAGGAAGCACAACGGCCTTCAGCAGCAGCTGGAGCTTCGGGCGGAGCTCACAGTTGACGATCTCCAGGCTCCTGCAGTGCGGGCGGTCTTAGTCCGGAGGCCGCTTTAGCATTGACTGCGATAGCCGTCAAGACTGTCAGGCCTGTAGGGCACTGCTTTGCATGCCGAGGCACTCCAGCACCGGGTAGTGCTCGAGAGCCGACAGGGCGATGTCCAGTGCTTCTGCACCCAAATCTACGAG